CACAATGACAGTTCCGAGTTAGGTACTGGGTGCCAGCCCAAGGCTGTATCATTGCATAACTCCAGGAGGCATCGTTCACATCTTGTTCCATGGAAATGGTATCTACTGGAATTGTACTCTGGGGCACCTTTCACATAGGTAATGTGCTATCTTTGTCAAATATAAGGCAAATGTTATTCCTTTGATAGTTACCATGGGCTCCTCTAATGTTGTAAAGTGGGTGAGTCATTTCCCATTTCCTTTTTTCTCTGCTATAAAGTGAGCATGATTATCACCAAATACCATCGCTGCATTGCCAGGCTCTGTAGTGATAAAATAATAGCATTCATGATCTTTGTCTTTATATTTTTACACCTTAATTATTTTTTGTGACGCAGAGGAGCAAATATGTACAATGGGCGATGTGGTTGTCAGAAATATGTTTTGAACACTCTCTCTTTGTCCAACTTTAACAAAGCATCTTTATCTGTAGGCCTGTCTCCCAAGCTCCTCTCCACATTCTCCTGCCTAATCTAATATGCGTAATAACCGGTCCATCATGCATTTTTCTAAAAGGAACAAAAATACTCAGAAGTGGTTATGCTTTAATATATCTTCTCATTTCTTCTTTCAGAATTGAGCGGCTGGCTAAGGATATTATGAAAGACATAGGATACTGTGACATTATGGTCCTGTGTGTGCTAAAAGGAGGTTACAAGTTCTGTGCTGACCTGGTAGAACACCTTAAGAACATCAGTCGAAACTCAGATAGATTTGTCTCTCTGAAGGTTGATTTCATCAGACTAAAAAGTTACAGGGTAAGTTACTATTTGTTCCGTTTTCATTATGTGACATTTAGAATGAGCAGCTTTAGAGAATAAAAGAGCTAATAATGTTATGAAAATGAAGAAGGTCACTTTTTAAAATTTCCAAGATACTGCCACCTGTAATTCAAATAGTATTCTTTGGCGGAGGTGGGGGACTCTCCTAGCTATTTTCACGTACATGGAAAGATGATTCAGGAATGATTCATGCTTTCTTTTATGGTGATAAAGTTGAGTGGTTATTTCCTGGTGCCCGGCCTCATAAATGTGTTAAGAATGAGTATTAAGAAAGTCCAGTGAACACTGACGTGTTGTCACTGTTGGCCCTGGAGACCTGTGTGACACTGTCTAGCCCAGAGAGGAGAATGATAATACTTGGGTGGCTGCATTCATGGCCCCGAGATAGAGAAGAGAAGCCTGTAGGGACCGTGAATTATCACGTGTGACGAGACAGGCCCAGGGAACGTCCAACCAAAGGCCCCTCCACCAGTCTGCCGGGCTCTCTTGGCTGCCACTGAACAGAATTGATGGCAGCATTCTCTAAAAATGTCATCCCTCTAGTCTCCCCCTCTTCTCTCTGACGTTACCTTTTGTGATGCTTTTTGAGTCAATGTATGGTAAATCATTAAAGCTAGCTTACTATTGGGTGAGGAGCAATTGGAGTCAACACCATGAAAGTATTTGCATTGATTAAACTAGCTTGACACATTGTAATTCATTCTTAATTGGTTTTCTATTGCTGCATGACAAAATCACCACACACTCAGTGGCTTAAACCAACACACATTTATCATCTCAGTTTCTCTACATCAGAAGTCTGGGCATGGGTTTTTTGCTCAGTGTCTTCCCAGGCTGAAATTGAGGTGTTATCCTGGGCTTTGATCTCATCTCAGATTTGATGTCGTTTTCCAAGATCACTGGTTGTTGGCAGAATTCAGTCCCCATTTCCCACTGACTCTAGGCTGGAGATGCTCTCAGCTCCTAGAGGCTGTCCCTACTCAGGTCTTTGTTTCATGGACTCCTACATGGGCAGTTCACAACACAGCAGGGGACTCTCTCCATTCACTGAGGGCCCAGCCCCTCCTTTTTAAAGGCTAACCTGATTAGGTCAGGTTCACCCAGGATAAACTCCCTTTTGATGAACTCAAAGTCAGTTGACTAGTCACCTGATCATGGGAGCGAATTCACATGGTACTTACAAATCTCACCCACACTCAAGGGAAGTAGATAATACAGGGTGT